TCCTCCTGGCCCCCTATGTAACACGGTGTAATGGTGATTTGATTTGAATTAATCCATTTGTTAGGAAGATGATTTCTTTTATCACCTTCTAGAAGGGGGGAAAAAAAGAGTTCTTTAAAAGGTTCATAAATTTAACCATATAGAAGCAGCCTAAATGCGTGAGGACGTTACACAGAGTAAGTTAGTAGGATTCTGGAGTTTACCACTTTGGACGACATGGGTTGAGTGACACCTTTGAAGCTCCATGTTTTAAAAAATACATACCTGCAAAAAATTTCCCTCCCTCCACATGGTAAACGGCATATCTGAGGAGAAAGGTTTAAGGGAGCTAAATTTATTATATAGAAGGCGCCTTTTATGTATGGAAATCTTTTTAAAAAACCCATTTCACCCACTTGCAGTTTTCCATAGACAGCCCCAAACTTGGGTTAAGTGTCAATTAATTTTGTTTGTGGAAAATGTGAATGCCTTAACACTGCCTGACTCTTATAAATAAGCCAAGGGTCTTCCTCCAAATCTACAAAAGAAAATTTAGATTGCGGGTTGTGGTGGAAGGGTTACGGTTAGAGAACTTAAGTTATTATTGCTAAGCAACTCTGTGTAATCCATGGAAAACGGCAATGGAAATGGGAATCTTTCTTAACCAGAACACACATCTGACCAAGTTTCTAATCCGCCTCCATGCAGGTGCTAAACTAGGAATCCTAGAGAAATACAACAACTAAAAGTCACACATGCACACATAAACAAACCTGCAAATTATGTTGCAGATTTCTGCAAGGTCCGGGATATGTGGAAATTCTCTGTGCGAGGAGATGATGTTACAGGCAAACATTTATATTCAAGCTATGAGAGGCAGTGGGATGTATGTGCAGAGAAATCTCTTGGTCACCCGAATTACTGTCTTTCGCTACCCTGTTTTTCTCTGTATGTTGAAGCATGTTTTAAAAATCCCAAGCACCTCCCGATGTAAAAGTCTTAGAAGCATTTTTTTTCCTATGCACTCAGTCGTAGGCGCATTATATCTTAAACTCTGTAGTTCACCGAGACCGTTGGGGCTGCCGAGGTCAAAAGACAAACCTGTCAAACATTACTGCAGTATTCGGTGGGCCATAAAGCGAAACATGATGTGGCAATGGGAGTCATACCAGGTTAGAGTTTGGGAAAGTGACTTCTTCTGGCTTCTAGGATTCCAACTAGGGGATTTGCAGACCCAAAAAAAGTCTTGGTGAAGAGTCTCCAACTCTTGATGAAGCTTCCATTTTATGCCCTGCTCTCCACTGCTAACTAGGGACATCTCCCTTCCGTTTCTGTGCAGTAAAAACAAAAGGGGTTGACAAATCATGATGCACAATGTGTACATGTAACAGCAGCCCCACTGTTTATAGGCTGCTGTCTAGCAATAATGCAAACCGAACATGTTCTACATGATTTCACAAGCAGCTACCCATGGGGTAGAGCGGGGTTGGTCTTTTCTAAAATCTATCTCGCCTGGCTGTTGCAACTTCACAATTTCAAGACAATCAACTCGATAATTTTGCTCACCACTGGTCACTCAAGAAGTAAAAATGAGGGAGGTTGGTGTTAATTTTTGTATTTACAGCTCAGGCAACTTTTCACAGAACTGGATCCTGCAGCTGCTTATAATTAATTAGTCTCCAATCTTTTTTTTTAAAAAAGCAGGAAACATCCAAATCTTTCCAACTTGCGCTGTTTTAAAACCATAATGAATGGGATATTCCATCTGCCTGCAAAGCACAAATTCATGTTGATTGCTCTGTAGAGCTGTTACTAAACTCACTACGCTTTAGGAAAAAAATACACTCTGATGAAATCTTCGCTTGCTTTCCTCTTATAAGCTAGTACTCCTCTTCTTGAAATCCATATTCCAGTTTGTCTAACCTTTCGCCCCATGTCCGCTTCAAAGATGAGAAACGTTATTTTAAAAAAAGAAAAAGAAAATTTCCAGAATCCTACAGTCAAGCATGTTCAGTGGCCATGGCAGCTGTGGGATTCTGGGAGCTGTAATTTAAAAAAGGGAACTTTTTCTATCAGCATATTAAAATGCTAAAGTCTTCCAACAATGACGTACACATGAACACAAGCATGCCATTGACTGAAAGTTCAAAAGTTGTGCTTTGCAGTCTCAGCATCATCTGAGAAACTACTCCAGACACAGCGTCATGTAATAAATACACAGCCTTGCTTCTAGAAGCAAGAGTGAAATCGGATAAAGTCACTTGATAGTGAGAGGAGGACCTGAGGGATCAGAGCAGGCAGCTATGCCCGAAAATGTAACTACAGTAATGGAAAAAGTTGTGACTTCTGATTTTTGCAGAAGGAAGAATTTAAAGTCAGATGGAGACAGGAAGCAACGTAGGTCTGCAGAACTATAATCTGCTAGATTAAAGGGAGGGAAGGGGGCCTACAATTTACAAGCCACATTCCATTTCACTGCCAAGTGCTCAGATTTTTGAGGAAATGATAGGTAAGAAGCTATAGTAGATGTAGCAGTGCTAGGATGACGCTGTAAAACCAAGAAAAACAAACCAGTAGAGGCGATGCCCTACCAGAGGGTCATTGCACAAGAAGAATCAACTGTGCCTTGTACAAAAGCAAAATAAGGATATAACCAAGCCGTATCCAACATTCTTACAGGGCTCCCCCCAAATTTCTTTGTGGCTCTATCTGCAAGATTTATCTAAGCACTGATGCTACAAATGTGAATGAATGAATTGGACTTCCATGAAAGTGGTGAACAGTTCTCCTAAGTCCTCCAGGCAAAACTGGGGCGAGCCAGTTTCAAAGTGGTTTTAAGCGAACCCCCCTTGGATTCCATTCCAGCCATTTCCTAGAAAGCTACCTGTATAGCACCAATGCTCATTTAAACAAAACTGATCAAGCCGTGAAGATGTCCCCACTCTGGAGAGCTCTGAAAGTCAGCAGCGTCAACTATTCCAACCAATCTGGATTCACTAGACTAGGGAGAGATGCCCAGCAAGGACAGAGGAAAGAACTTCTAGTAGAGGGTGCCTCTGATTTGAAGAAGACTCAAAGGTGACGGAAAAATGTCAGGAAGACAGGTTTGTCTCCAAAAGAAGAAACAAACAAAAGCAGGATGGGGGATAGGGAAAGGAAGGACAACAGGTGTAATAGCTCAGTGGCTATGTCCACCTCTCCATCTCATTCTTATTTTCTTAGATGAGTCCATGCTCAGAGGTTGAGAAGAAACTGATGCCGTGCACCAGTTCACAATGGTGAAGGAAGCTTTCAATGCTCCATGCCTGCATCCTGCGCATCAGTCATGAACTAGTCAGATGACTGAGCTCATCCTTCTGCGCCTTCTACTCTTGCTCCCGTTCTGTGGGGTTCAAGAACAACCTGCCACCCAGCAGAAGAATGATGAATACCTATTTCGTTTCACCTAGGAGTTACGGGCAAAACTATCTGCCCCATCTCCATTTTTAAGCACTCAATTTTTTTTTCTGAAAAATAAAATAACACAAGCCAGTGGTGTTTGAGCGGGTCAAATAAATACATGGCCTGCTCAAATGCAAACTGGATGACTCAAATGTACGAGCACATGCTGCATGACAGCATTACTCAAGTGAAAGAGACGTAGGATTTTGAAGAAAGATTTCTGTGTTTCTGTGGGTTTTTCAACCATATTCTTTGTTATTCAAGCAGATACCTGCTAAACAAAGTCATGCAATATATTGGGGGGGGGGAGAGCTTTTTTTGTTTACTTAAAACAAAAGAAAAACCAACAAGCCAACGAAAACCACAACTCCTTGGGGAAGGCAAATATTTTGTTAAGATCTGGGTTGTTTTTTTAGAATTTTAAATGTGGATTATGTGCACTGCAAGAATGTAGATGCATACAGTTAACAGAGTGGTTCTTTAAGTGCTTACCGGGAGGGGGATACTTGAAAACATTTAAAGGCCAGAGAGTATGGGGGGGAATCCAAAGTTTTCTTGTGAGGTCGTATGCATCATCCTAAGGTCACCTTTAAAATCATATATATATTATTTTTTAAAAGATGTGCTAAGCAACAAACATCTGGAAATGCAACATGGTTTTGGGGCAAAGGAGCCACCGAAGAATGAATCCCTCCTTCAGTGTCAGCAGCAAAACTGGTGCAGCCACTGCCAGCAACGGACCGAGCACCAGAATTAAATCCAAAACCCAGCATTAAAAAAAAGAAAGAAAAACACACAGTAATTACTATTTCAGACTATGACGATGTGTAGACTGTGTGTGCTAATTTGTGTATAGAGAGAAAAATTAAAGAAAAGGAAAGACGCCAATTGACCTCACAGAATCAAATGCAAGACGGAATGGCACGTCATGTTCTGGTTTGATGAGCTATCAATAATAAGCAGAAAGGCTATTTTGATACAGAGGGCACACTCTCAAACCCAGTGTCATGCTGCTTAGCTCTGCGGACAGAGGAGACCATGGGGAAACGGGCATCCTCCCTGATATATGGCCCATTTTAGAAATCAGTTTAGCAAATAATATCTATTAAAATACACATTAAAAACATGGAAGGACCGACAAGCAGCCATCACTGTTGAAATCTGCTAGAATATCCAAACTGAGTGATAACATTAATCCCTCTCATCTATCTCTCTCTCTCTCACACACACACATATACATACTTTCCCAAACAAAAACCTCCCAGGAAAAAAAAGCCACCAGTTCTATTTGCATACTTCAATTTGAAGTAGATACTAAAAAGCACAGAAAGGGTTTTAAGAGCGGTTGGTTCCCTGTTTATATGAGAGTCCTGCCATCTCTTGAAAATGATTTGCTGCCAAACATGGTCTCTTCATAGCAAAAAAACGGTTAAGTCTTCCCAAGTGGTACCATGTATGAAGCTCCCCAGATAAATGAACACATTAAAAAAAGGAAGAGTCTCGTTGCAAACTCACCACTCAGAACTGTTTCAAAGGGTCAAAAGCTCATGACAGGGTGACAACGTCCTGCTGTACAAAAACACGTTTAAAAGATGTTTATTGGGGGAATGGCAAATTAAAAGGTGATAAAATTGCTTTTCGTCCGTGGCACTTCTGCCTCTTTGTCCATCGTGGCGATCCTCAGGGTCTACCACGGCTGTTGTTGTTGTTGTGTTTTTTTTTGAGAAGCCGATTACTAAAAGGATCTATGGTAAATTAAACCTACAAGTCACAAAATGCAACAGTAAAGTTACTAATTGCTTTCCTTAAAATTGTATGTTAAATCGTAATCTAAGTTGTGAACATTTATATATAATATATATCTCCTATGAAAAAGCTGGAGCACAAAATTCTTTTGTATCCCCTATCCTTTTCCCACGCCTGCCCCCTTCCCCACCCCCCAAGTTAAGATTTTGAGCCCTGACCGATCTGGAATGCTTTCCTTCAGCCACCCCGTCTCTCCTAACCCCCCCACCCCCAAATTTGTGTGCACTCAGGAAATATAAAGTCAAAAATATACAAATCTCTCATTTACTACAAGGTCTGTGTGTAGATGGAAGTTTTTTTCTTCGGACTGCAGAACTGGATGAAGTTGGTTGGGGGTAGGTGGTCAGAGAGCAAAAATAATGAGAATATGGAATTTACAGTAATTATCTTGGGGGGAAAAAGTTCCAGAAAATCCCATGGTCTGTTCAGGAGTGGGGGGACGGGGAAAAGGAGGGGGAAAAAAAACATTATCCCAAACTGCAGGACTGGTGAAATTCTGACTGCTAAAAAGTGATACTGTAGTGGAGAGTTTTCTAGGAAAAATAAAACACCTTTTAATAACTGGCCCGCTGGTATGAGCTACCGTGGAATAAATTAGCACAAAAACGGAAGTCTTATAACTGTTCACTGTTACAGACGTAATCCACAAGGTCAGTCACTCGCAAGAGTTCGTCCTCGTCTTCCTCGGGGCCTCCTGCCTCCTGGCCCCCACCTGTCCCGTTGGGCGCCAAGCTGGCATTGGCTGTGCTGTCCTTGGGGGTGGGAATCTTCTCGGCCGGTTTGCCAATCAAGTTCTCGATTGTCTTCCCGGGGCTCTGCCCGTTGGTGGAGGGCAAATCCACCAGGCTGTAGTCCAACGGGCTTTCTACCTTTCCCACATTATCAAAGTCATCCTCCTCATCGCTTTCTATCCGGTAGCAGGCTTTCTTGGGGAGGTCCTGGGGAACAGGAGGGATCGCGGGCTTGGCGGCGGGCACCGGCCGGCTGGTCTCGTCGTTGACGTTGCTGCCGCTGTTGTCTTCGTCATCCGTCTCGATCCGATTCAGACGCTTCCGGATGGGCCGCCCTTCCTCGTCGCCGTCTTCCGAGTACTCGTCTGTGCTGTGGCTGCGCTTTCGCACGGATCTCTTCGACAGCCTGGTCGATGCGTCGTCGTCCGAGTTCTTAGCCACATAGCTCTCTGGAACAAGCATCAGACTTAGAGCCGTTAGCAAGATCGGGGGCAAAGCAAGCACTACACCTGCATTTCTGTTTGCGTTTTTAGACCATACATGCAACATGCATTGCTAAATCAAGACGCTTAGGCTGAAAGAAAACTGGCGGCCGGTCAAAAATAAGAGCAGTTCAATATACAAGAAAACTAACAGCTAAACTGCCTCTCATGGGAGAGAGAAAAGTGACAGGACAGATGTAGGAGGTTTTTGGTTACTGGAAATCAGCCCCTGCTAGTGATGTCATCACCTCTCTGTGGACATATTTATACCAACAGGTTTTTCAATCAATTCATGTAATAAATCAGATGGTATGTTTTGAAAGATATTTTCCTAATCCACCCGTTTTATAACATTTATTTTAATCTGCATCCCACTTCATGTAATTTTAAGAATTTGAAGTTAAAACATTCTATGCTGCTATAAAAGCTTAACAAATGATTGCAAGCTTTCCCGTGTCAGTCCCCAAAGCTACACACAAAAATAAAACAGCCATTTAAGAACTCATGTAGCCCTGGTGATGAAGACATAGAATTGTGGAACAGAATTGGGATCATACTTCATCATGGCCACCGATGGATCAAATGACCTTGGTGAAGCCACATGATGCGTAATTTGGGATCACTGTCTGTTTTAGAAGATAGTGATACATATTTCAGAAAATTTATGAGAAGCACAGTAGCCAGATACTGAATTATCTTATAGTTTCAGGTGGCCAGAAAAATAAGGAGAAAAGGACTGCAGCATGGAGCAGAATTGCTAAAGTTCCACCCTAAATTTTTACTTTTAATCATACAGATCTTACTCTTCCAGGCACTCTCATTTTCTTATCCAGCTTTCCAAATTATAAACTGTCACCTAATGGAAGGGCCTCTCTTTGCTGAGGGTAACTGAAAATTCTGAATCAGATTTTCCAAAGGTTGCAGGTTGCATGGTAGGATATGGCCAAAGTAGTCCTGGGGTGTGTGTGTGTTTTGGACTCGATGGCCTCCTATGACCCTCCCAACTCAATTATTCTATGATTCTCAGTGAAAACTTTTAAGGATCTGCATTTTGAAACCATCCTTTGAAAACGTCAGCCAGAAAGCTCCTGCAAGGCAAGAGAAGGAATGGGTCTTTTTCAACACCCCACTGTCCACATCATGCCTCAGAAGATCCTTTTAGGAATGCACAACTGGTCAGGGAGTCTTCTCACATGTTACAGTCTGTGTGGTGATCATGGTAAGAACGATGAGTGCCAAGAGTATCTGGAAAATAGAAACTGCTGCCTTCTCATTGGCTAGAGCTAGCGAGAGCTCCTGAAAACAAAAACACTTGCCGGACAACCTAGGCACAGTAATGGGCCCAAAGAACATGCTGAGGGCCTGATAAATTAAGAACCCAGTTTGCTGCTGTCTATCCCTCCCAGAGCTGAGAAAAGGGGTTTCGTTTTCATTTCGCTTGGACTACAAGATCCAGAATGCCCCAGCCACAGAAAAACAAACTGGCCCTTCTCTATTGGGGGAGGTTTTGCCAACCACGACATCTCATTGAGATTCAGCTGTAAAAGGGGGCTGTGGCCCTGAGGCAGCTCTGTCAGCCAATAAAGGAAGAAGTAGATTTAAGTCTCTATGTCTACCTAGTTTTAGGGTGAGGGCCATAGTTCACGGTGGGGCACGTGCTCTGCTTGCATATGGTCGCAGGCTCAGCCCTCAGCAATTCCAATGAAAAGAAGAGGCTCGTCTCAAGTAGTAAGGCTGGTGGGAAACCTCTCTGGCCAAGATATAGGAGGAAGGCTGCCAGTCAGAGTAGAAAATATGTGATCCAATGGTCCCACTCTATATCAGGCAGTTTCACACACAGCCAGTTAGTCCTGCTTTAGAAAAAAAGGATTTAACAGAACTGGTGGAAGACTGTGGGAGTGGTCATCATAGATCCCCATTTATACCTGAATCAGGGTCTCAATCCTATTGTGTAATGTATGCCTGCAGAAGGGTGATGGTGTCACCACCAGGGTTTGATTTTTGTTAATTAATAACCCCCTACTTCCAACCTCATGGCTTTTCCAACTAATGCATTTCACCACCTGGAAGGAATGGGATAGAAGTAGGAAAAATTTTAACTACTAGAACTCATCCCATCAGTGACATCATCACCCTTCCACAGGTATTAATTACACAATAGGGTTTCAGCGAGACAGATCATGGCTTTCCACAAATAAATCTGGAGTGATTTAAACCTGGCTCCCTAAAGACCCGAATACAATCAGAAATCCACTGTTTGCTGCTCTGCTTCCCCGGTGCCACTCCTACGGCTACCAATTACGTACCCATTTCCCAAAAATATGGCCCATACAGGAGGAAGATTAATGAGTGAACAACTGTCTACAGTACTGGCCGACTAACATTAGCCATGCTTCTGTTTAAATTCTGGTTGCCACTCTCCCTTCCTCTCGGGCATAAAGCTGTTGAATCTGTGCTACATTTTGATTTTACCTTCGCTGTCCGAACTGGAGAGCCGGCGCTTGTGAACTCTTCTCAGCTCCTTTCCGTATCGGAAGCTCTTCTGAGAGCCCTCGCTTTCGGAATCTTCCTTATAGTTGACTTGCCTCTTCTGATTCCGCCGAGATCTTCTCCGCCTCGTTTCCAGGTAATCTTCATCACTGTAATCTGATGACACATCACTTTCTGCCCAGGGAAGGAAGAGAAGCAACCACCTAAGTTCGGTTTCATGACCTGGCGCATTCTGTCACATGTGTAAGAATCTGTCTGTTCAGATTAAAGCTGAGGGCGTATAAACTGAAACTTAATCCAAGCAAGACAGAGGTGCTCCTGGTCAGTCGAGAGGCAGATCAAGGAACAGGGTCGCAGCCTGGGCTGGATGGGGTTACACTCCCTTTGAAAACATATATGTGCAGTTTAGGGGGTGCTCCTGGATTCATCTCTGAGACTGGATGCCCAGATTTCAGGGGTGGCCAGAAGTACCTTTGCACAGCTTACCTTTGCGCCAGTTGCTTCTGTTTCTTAAGAGGTCTTATTTGGCTATGGTGACACATGCCCTAGTTACATCTTGGCTAGATTAATGTAAAGCGGCCTACGTGGGGCTGCTTTTGGAAAGTGTTCTGAAACTCCAGAGGATCCAAAATGTTGCAGCCAGATTACTAAGTGGGGCTGGTTACAGGGAACATAGACCTCCCCTGTTACAGCAGCTCCACTGGCTGCCGATCCGTTTCCTGGCACAATTTAAAGTGCTGGTTTTCACCTACAAAGCCCTAAACAGCTTGGTTCAAAGCTATCTAAAACAGCGGTCCCCACCTTTTTAGCCACACAGACCGGCTGGGGAAGGCGGGGCAACCCCCCTGCCACAAAGGGTGGCGCAGCGCTCATGCACAGGCACAAACGGGCTGTGCGGGGAGAGTGTGTGTGGAAGTAGGAAGGTGGGACCTTCACAGGTGCATTTGGTGGAGAGGGCCTTCTCTGTTGCTGTTCCTAGACTGTGGAACTCCCTCCCACTGGAGGCCAGACTGGCCCCACGGCTGGGGAAGGCGGGGCAAACCCCCTGCCACAAAGGGTGGCGCAGCGCTCATGCACAGGCACAAACGGGCTGTGCGGGGAGAGTGTGTGTGGAAGTAGGAAGGTGGGACCTTCACAGGTGCATTTGGTGGAGAGGGCCTTCTCTGTTGCTGTTCCTAGACTGTGGAACTCCCTCCCACTGGAGGCCAGACTGGCCCCATCTTGGCTGTCCTTCCACAAGCAGCCAGAGATCTTTCTCTTCAGACAAGGCTTTCCCTTAGTAACTGGTGGTGTGAGAGGGGTTTTTAAATGGATTGTTGTGCTCTCTTGTTTGAAATGCGTTATAATATTGATCTTAGTTACCATTTTAATTCTTTTTAAAATATTTGTAGACCTACTGTTTTAGCTTCTACCTGTTGTCTTTTTAATGATGTAAGCCACCTTGGGTCCATTTAAAGGAGAGAGGCGGGATAAAAATGTTTGACATAAATAAAATAAATCCTCATGCCAGAAGGGTTAAATGTTTCAGGCTTTAGTTTTCTCAATTCTTCCCCAATAGAAAATGCATTTCAAGGAATTCATGGGAAAGGTGGTCATGGGTTCAAAAGTCATGCTGTCTCGACAGCTGCAGCTTCTTGAAAAAGGCAGGATGCGACTCTGAGTGCCTCTTGCTGGGAATCTGGATAATAAATTCCCCAAGAAACCTAACATGCATTTAAAGCCCTCTGCCTTATCTTCAGCAACATCCATCGGGCAGCCCACCCAGCCATAACTGGTTTAGGCAGCCTAGGGGCAAAGCCATCTGTAGAAGCAGAGAGGGGGCCAAGCTTTGGAGGGCAATGGAAAAGCAAAGCAAAGCAAAATATATTAAGGAGAGGAGAGAACTATTGGTCTGGAGACAACTTCCACCTCCCCTCTCAAACACATTCCTGTGACACTGACCACACTTCGCTTTAGAAGTCAATGTTACTTTATTTATAAGACTTACACTCTGCCTTTTGACGAAATGAACTTCAGAATGGCTTACAACATATTACAGCACAAAAGAGAAAGAACCCCACAGGTACAAAGGCCAGCCCGTTCCCCTCATTCCCTTGGTCAAAGGATGGGGCCAGGCTGCGTCTCCTTCTTGCTGACCTTGGAGATACACCAAGTGTCCTTTTGGGCAGGGAACACCGGGGGGGTGGGCGGCTGGTGGGGAGAGGGGAAACCAGATTCTTGGTGGTGCTGCTCCTTCTCTGACTGATGGAGAGAGCCCGACTAGTCTTCCCTGTGCAGTGGTGTGCTTTTGGGGGAAGGGGGCAGAGACCAAAACCCCACCCCCACATCTCAATATTGCATAAAAATGCATTGGTGATCATCAGTTTCAGTATTTGATGGGCATATTCCAGTGTTAAGAAATCCTTAAATACTGGCTAATTACGGTATGGTGGCATTATATTCAGATTTCCTTTTAAGACAGGCTAATGCGCGCTCTCCCTCTCTCACTCACTCACTCTCTCTCTCTCAAGAGATGATCAATTAATTTAGGTTTAGTTGCAAACCAGCATGTTTTTATTACATTAAATAACTAGCTGATAGGTCGCTTTGCTCAGGAAACACTAACATGGGAAACCTGATTTAAATAATTCAATCTAGGCATAGATGCAACATACTGCATTTCCCCCAAAAATAAGACAGGGCCTTATATTAATTTCTGCTCCAAAAACGCATTAGGGCTTATTTTCAGGGGATTTTTTTTTCATGTGCAACCATCTACATTTATTCAAATACTGTACAGTCATGTCATCTTCTTCTGGTGGCTGCACAAGGAGGGAGCCATCTTTCACTTCACTGGGGGCTTATTTTTGGGGTTAGGGCTTATAATACGAGCATCCTGAAAAATCCTACTAGGGCTTATTTTCAGGTTAGGTCTTATTTTTAGGAGAACAGGGTATATTAGCTCTGTTGTACTGCTAGCAAAGACATAAGCATATTATACATATACATATTATACGTATACATATTATACATATTAATACAGAGTTATAGATATATATTCTGTACCCTCAACTCTACAAAGTTATCCAGGAATTAAAATCAATAATTTAACAGTAGAGATGGGCATGAAGCACAATGAAGCGCTTCATATGAAGCTGTCAGCTATCTCCCTCCCACCCTCAGTCGGCTGGCCCACCCACCCTTCTCCGCGTGCCGCCGGGGTCCTTCTTCTGTGGTGGTGCTCCAATCCGGGCAGGAGCTCAGCTGGCCCATCCCTGCCTCCTCAGGCAGCCAACCATTTGTCTCCACATTGGAGCGGTCAGCTGCCTGAGGAGGCAGGGATATGCCAGCCGAGCTCCTGCCTGGACTGGAGTGCCACCAGAGAAGAAGGATCCCGGTGGTGCACCAAAAAGGTTGTGTGGGCCAGCTGGCCAAAGGTGGGTGGGAGATGGGCTTCGTTGCGCTTTGTGCCCATCTCTATTTAACAGTAATATAAAAGAGAACATTGAAACAGTGACAGTAAATAATTCAAATCACATACACTAAGTGCAAGAAGAATAAAAATGTAAACACAACGAGAAATGCAAATCAGGGCAAGTGAAAACATCCCCAGCCAGTGCGGAAATACTGCTATATCAAAGCCACTCCAGGGAGGGAATTCCATAGACAAGGGGCCACCACCTTGTCTGCAAGTTTCCTCTCCTGCTTCATTTCAGTCAACAGGTAAACCCAAATAAAGGCCTCGAAGGGTGACTGAAGGGCTCAGGTACAGACTTCTGACAAGAAAAGGTTCTTGAGATACAGGGGTCCAAGGTCAGGAAGTCAAACGCAGTGTTCTGAATTACACCCCAGGAGCAGACTGGAAGCCAGTGAGGAGTTTCAACACTGGCGAGACTACATACAGTCAGGATGCCTGCTTGAGGTCAACATCCTAGCTATGTGATTTTATTTCAGGAGAGCTACTCCTGGATCCCAACTCTCATCCCAAACGAAACATCAACTGATGACCACAGTGCTGGAGGGCCGCCCTTGGATTAGCTCTGCAGGCGCAGCAGCTGGAGGTTCAAGGGCCAGATCCAGCCGAAAGAAGGGTGCCAATGGACAGGCACGCGGGCTGGTCCTCTAGGAAAACAGGCTTCTGACCACAAGTCTAGTTTTGAAGAGTCAGCTTTTTGTGGTCCACCAGCCAAGTCACAAAAAGCAAGGGTCTCACTTACCGGAGTCGGCGCTTACGTTATCCTCAGAGTCCTCGTCTTCGTCGTCTTCTGAGTACCTTTTTTTGGCCGTTTTTCTCCGTAGCCGCCGGCTTTGCCTCATGGGCCTGGGATGGTGCCGCCTGGGCCGACGGCGCCTGGAAAAGTCGGCATCGCTGTCGTCATTCGAGGGCTGGTCCTCTTCACTTTCCTCTAGGTTGTCATCAGACACGACAAATTCATCCTGAGATCTGCCCGGGCAAAGATGGGTGGGAAAGATCTTTGAAATAAATGATCACCAAAATGTTTTGTCCTCAACAAGCTGTGGCTGCCTTTATGGAACCAATCCAGCTCATATTTGGTCTTCCTCTATTAATTAAAAATATACTAATTAAAATGTTAAAACAATGGGAGTACCAATATTTAAAAGTACATAATGACTATAAATCAACATTTTAAAATCCATTAAAGCTCCTTGTCTGAATAGTCTAGTGGCTCCCCAAAGTCTCCGTAAAAAAAAGGTGTATTTCCAATTGCCGTTGGAATATCTCCCAAGGAATCTGGGAGCAGCCACAGAAAACCCTTCTTTGACACTAAATGTCTAGGATGGAGAGAAGGCACACTATGACTGATCTTAAGGCTTCGGGCACTCCTAGAAGGAGATTCTTTCAGATAGGCTGGATGTAAACTGTAAAGGGTTTGGAAGGCCATGGTCAACACCTGGAAGGGCGCCTGGCGACTCTTCTGCAGACAGTGGAGCTGTTTGTAACCGGAGGGAGGGGGTGTCATAAAGTCCTAATCAGGATTCTGACTGCAGCATTTTTCATCAGCGGGATTTGCCAAACTGTCATTAAGAGACTGCCCTCTGTAGCGAGCACTGCCATAATCCAAACAGGAGGTAACCAGGGTGTGTGTCACCATAGCCAAATCAGGGAGTGGACACACCCTCTGGCTTGGTGTGTGCTTAAGAATCTCAGCCGGGACTTGTTAACTGCTAGCTAGGAGCAAGATAAAGGTCATGCTGCTTTACTTCTGCATGTTTTAAAAACAAGGCAACAGGACTTCAGTCACTGTGTTTTTAGGTGCATCTGTTTTTTTAAAAAAATAATTTGTAAGTGGTCCTGTGTCCTGTTGCTGGTAGAAAGGGGTCACAGATATTAAATGAATAAAAAACAAGAGAGGCAGAGATGCGCACATGCTCAGTGCTAACAGAAACAGGTGGACATGAAAAGGGCCAAGCTGGGCATGGAAAACACCGTTTGCCTTCAGCCGGCCTTACTTACCCGTCACTGATCCTGAACTCATCCTCACTTTCTTCTTCATCCAAGTTGCTGTCGCTGTCCAGGTCATTCAGCCGCCGGCGTTTCTTGCGGCGAGCCGCCGTTGCCCTGGAGGAGGGCCGCTTGTTCTCCTTCCTTTCTTCCTCCAGGATGGTGGAAATATCCTTGCCACGATGCCCGGTGATGTTGGACATGTCTTTTCCTCTTCCGCCACCTACGTTTGGTGGATCCAGGCAAGGCAAGTTACGCATCAGGGTGGAGCTCATCCCTCAGCCTGAGGATGGGGCTGCTTCCACTCCCAAAACCTTCCCCTTCCAAATTTTTGTACATTTTTTTTAAACAAAAAAAAGACCTTTTAGTCTTCTAGGAAGCTTGTGGGGGAGGAGTGTGTGGGAGTGTGCAGAAGGAAGTATGGGGAGGGAGGGAGGGAGGAGACAGAGAGGGAGGGAGGTGCTGATGATGGATGAATGGATGGATGGGAGGGAGGGAGGGAGGAGATGATGATGGATGAATGGATGGACGGACGGACGGACGGGCGGCCGCTGTTGACATCTCCATAAGGGGGATCAACAAAAGGTGATGATAATAGATGGATGGACGGACGGACAGAGGGAAGGGAGGGAGGAGCTGATGATGGATGGATGAATGGATGGATGGACGGGCGGGCGGACGGAGGGAAGGAAGGAAGGAAGGAAAAGACGTCTTATACATGGAAAAATATGGTATTTTACTACAATGCATCAGAAGAAGAGGGTGTTCTTGCATGGAACCGTCAGACAACAGCCACCTCTGGACGTCACTGCCAGGTTATCTGGTGGAGCGGACGGACAAAGGGAAGGAAGGAAGGAAGAGAGAGAGAGAGAGGGAGGGAGGGCTGCATACTGCCCACTCCGGTCTACCTACTACCTTGCCACTACTAGACCCCCCCTGTAACAAAACTTCACTTTAAAAATATCTGCCACTTAGAATCAAGATGGCTGGGTAGAAGCCTTGTGGGCACCTATGGTCTAACTCTGCAAGGCTGGATACACAGACCGAAATCCTATGGAGAAGCTAGGCTTGCCTAACCCAATGTCTAACCATGTCAAGGCCAAAGTGCTATTCACAACGCAAGGGTTGAAATGGGAACTATGTGACCAACTGCACAACTGAATTGTGCAATCCTTGTTGCCTGGGTATTGTGCCCAATAAATTAACACAGGTGTGGCTTTACGTCATGCAAAGACAAACATGATCCCAGCTACTGAGTGACAGAGATTGGCACAAACTTCTACACTTAAGTAAAGACCTCAATTCAGGACACCATGGACTAATTCTAATCAGCTGCAAAGTTTGACCAAAAAAAAGGGGGGGAAGCCATATTGTGCTATGTTCATACACTGCACAATTCCTGTGTTTGTCCTCTACTGGCATGGAAGAGAGAATATCCAAAGCCTTCAGGATATATTTGCCACATGCTAGTCTCCCCACCCACCCCCTCAAAAAAGACTCAGGATTCCCCTCCATCCATCCACTATCTAGACCACCCAAACGTTCTTGTAACTACATTCAAAGTCAGACCATAAAGACACACCTCCTCCATCAGCCTCCTTGATGTCATCCTCAATGGCTTCGTCAATAGCTTCATCAAATTCATCAAATCTAGGCAAAAGGCATTCATGTCAGCTGGCAAAGATACAGCAACACAGAAATCGAAAGGCACAAGCAGCTAGAATGAAAAGACTAACCATCACTTTCCAAATAGTTAAACGCAATCAAGGGTTGGCTCTCAACAGGCCCCATTTTTTTAAAAAAAAGACAAACATCTCAGCACATGTTTGTTGTTTTCATACGCTGTCATGTCATTTCCAACTTATACCAACATTACAAACTAGTGACCTCCAAAGGTTTCTGTCATTAACAGTCCTCTCATTAACAGCCTGTCCAAAGGCTGAAGCTTCCTTTATGGAGTCAATCCATCTTGTGTTTCGCCTTCCTCTTGAGCACAGATATGGGCAATGAAATTTGCAAAGTATAGTAAGTTAAGTAATGGGCAGAAGACAGCACCTAACGATATACCAACATTACAAACTAGTGACCTCCAAAGGTTTCTGTCATTAACAGTCCTCTCATTAACAGCCTGTCCAAAGGCTGAAGCTTCCTTTATGGAGTCAATCCATCTTGTGTTTCGCCTTCCTCTTGAGCACAGATATGGGCAATGAAATTTGCAAAGTATAGTAAGTTAAGTAATGGGCAGAAGACAGCACCTAACGAAATAATACACTGAATCTTCTCAGGCCTTTATTTCACATAAAACCACACAAGAGACCTATTTTGCACAAGTTCCATGTTGCTGACGCTGCATTTCCTTTTGAAAATCCAAGCACTCTCAAATTTCTAAGCAGTCAGAAATTGCTTGCTCATCAATTAAGTAGGACATCTACAGTATCTGAAACGGACAATCCTGATTGCTCCTCACAGCCTTTGCCTTTCCCATCCCCTTTAAATGGAAAACCAGCTATTCTTTTTATCTGCAGCAGTCTAGATTTTATACAAAAGGGAAAATGCTGCTAGATTAATATGTAGGTGAAATTTGTTTTTCACACAGCCCAGGCAAAAAGAGGTCAGCTGTCTTGGCTGTTTTACAGTTCAGGCTTGGTTTTAAAGCAGATGAAACACACTGGAAAGAACATGGCCAAAGAGCCCCAAAAACCCCAGCTATTCTTTTTATCTGCAGCAGTCTAGATTTTATACAAAAGGGAAAATGCTGCTAGATTAATATGTAGGTGAAATTTGTTTTTCACACAGCCCAGGCAAAAAGAGGTCAGCTGTCTTGGCTGTTTTACAGTTCAGGCTTGGTTTTAAAGCAGATGAAACACACTGGAAAGAACATGGCCAAAGAGCCCCAAAAACCCACAACAACCCTAAAAGCAGATGAAACACACTGGAAAGAACGTGGTCATAGAGCCCCCAAAACCCACAACAACCAACACTGGAGAGAGACACACAAAGGCAGAAATAACAAAGACGATACTTTTTCACAGTCCTGCTGTCGAGCACAATAGATATCAAGTATAATTTTTTATTTTTTTAAAAAATTAATAAGCAATGACCCTTTCAAACTGCTATGCTTGCAGAATGGCTTAATACCCTACTCGGACAAAGCGATATTCAGGGCGAGAGTTATGTTCTGCCGGGTAATCAATCCGTTAGCTTCCTCTGTCAGGGACACGGCAACTTACCCATAAAACCCAGCACACAGGCTGCTTCCTCATGCTAATCACATATCGCTTTCTCACACAAGGAGGGACTTTCATCTCAGTATCGTTATCTGGAAGTTCATGTCAAGCATCATGTAAACAGCCTAGGCTTGCTCTTATACGAATTTCAGAGAGCAGTATAGGAAAGGCCCCTAGTATGCATTATTATTTAAAAGCCCCTGCTTCTTGGGAGGAAAGTGAACCTAGACAGCATCTTAAAAAGCAGAGACATCACCTTGCCGACAAAGGTCCGCATAGTCAAAGCTATGGTTTTTTCCAGTAGCAATGTATGGAAGTGAGAGCTGGACCATAAAGAAGGCTGACCGCCGAAGAACGGATGCTTTTGAATTGTGGTGCTGGAGGACACTCTTGAGAGTTCCCATTTGCTCTTCAGAGTCCCCTGGACTGCAAGGAGAATTCCATAGGCATCCTTCAATCTGGAGAGACTATGGTAACATGCTCTGTATCGAGAAGTGTCCTCTCCAGAGCAGGAAGCCTGAGTAAAGTAGTATGGAGGATAGGCTGTTACCCAAGCAGCAAATCCCCTCTCTCCACGTTGCTGAAATGGTCCAATGGAAAGGCAAGAGCCAATACAACTGGTTCCAGCAACATCATAGGAGTTGGCAGAACGACACAAACTGCCTCCGGGACTCCAGCTGCAAGGAGAACAAACCTATCAATTCTGAAGAAAATCAACCCTGTGTGCTCACTGGAAAGACAGATCCTGAAGCTGAGGCTCCAATGCTTTGGCCATCTCATGAGAAGAGAAGACTCCCTGGAAAAGACCCTGATGTTGAAAAAATGTGAAGAGGAGAAGAGGACGACCAAGGACGAGATGGTTGGACAAGGTCACTGAAGCGACCAATGTGAATTTGACCCAAGTCCGGGAGGCAGTGAAAGACAGGAGGGCCTGGCGTGATCTGGTCCGTGGCGTCACGAAGAGTCGGACATGACTTAACGACTAAACAACAACATGCATTGTTATATATTCCTGTATAGGAAAGGCCCCTGGTATGCGTTTGTGTATGTATGTATGTGTGTGCGTACGTGCACTTACAAGTTGGATTTTTAAAGCAAAACAGGAAATTGATAGGCTAAGAAGCAATTCACATACAAAAACTGTTTGGCTTTCATTTTAATAAGGGACATCCCTGGGATCTCTGAAGGCAGGAATAGTGAACCGTGTGCACTTACACCCTTTGACACGGACTGCTTTTTCAAAATCTGTGCTCAAACACAGACTGTCTTTGCACCTATACTGTGATTGATGAAGTTCCTCTGGTCAAAATTACACTCTCCAGAGGCCACATGAGAAAAATAAACATTCAAAACATTATGGATCTTTGCTGCATGCATACTTTGGTGTGACATGTGTAGCACATCACCAGCACACTTGACTTGCGTGAAAAACTACATAGGTTTTCTGCAATATCCCTCTTGCTTCAGGATACTCTCCAGGAGATGGTGTGAATTGCAAAGCAATGTGAATGGGATGAACTGAACTGAACTCCTTCCTAGGAGCTGATTCCTTGCCTCCCATCAAAGGCAAGAAGGAGGCTGAATACCCTCAGTCTCCTTCCCATTGCCAAAACGAGTAAGTTTTTTTATAGTAAAGGAGGCCAACTGATAAATCCTGCACTCAAGGTGTTCGCTGTCAAAAGCTTACCACAAATGCTCTATGGGACAGAATTATGGGGAGAAGCAGCTAAGCCAACATTAGAAATTCTGCAGAAAAAATTCATGAGGCCGATCCTGGGGATGCCTCTGGGAATTCCCTCAGCTCCTCTCAGAGCAGAGTGAGGCCTTCCCTTAATTGCCGATAAAACTGACCTGGCCTATTTTAGAGACTGGCACAGATTGAACAACTTAGAGCAGAGGTCCCCAACCCCCAATCCGTGGCCCAGTGCCAGTCCGTGGCCTGAGCTGGACCGGGCCACGGAGACAGACCTCCCCACCCTGGCACGCATTCCCCCCCGCACAGCCCGTCTGCGCCTGCATGTAAGCACGCCCACCCAAGCATTGTGCCACCCTTTGCGCACGTGCATGAGTCTGTATGAGCGCCCCTGCTCCTTTGCGCATGTGAACAAGTGAGCACACACGTGCAACAGAGAGCGCACACTCCTTTGCGCATGCGCAGGGGGAATGCCCCACTTTCTCCAGCCAGTATGTTGGGGACCCCTGATCTAGAGGACGTCTCCTTGACAAAGTGCTACCGGCTAGATCAACAACAGTCTGGTGGATGGGCACAGCAGGGCTCCGAAAAACTAAAAGCCTATAACCTCCCACTGGAAAAATTGCTCAGTCGAGGCCCTCGGGACCTTAGAAACTGGATTCTCGACTTTGATGCCAGTCAGGACAGGGCTGTTACTGTCGGGTCCCGTTTTTCCACGGGGTACCTCCCATTTCAGTTGAATCAGGCAAAACCAAGTTACTTTGAGTCTTTGACTTTTCTTCAGATCTGCAGAGCGTTCACAGAACTTAGATTTAGGCCGATGACTACAGCATATCTTGAAGGGAGGTATAAAGGAATTCCAGCGGAGAAGCGGAAATGTGCCTAGGGCTGCAATCAGATTGAGGACCGAACTCACTACTGCCTACTCTGTTCTCTCTCTGAAAATCCCAGAGAAAGATTTCTCTCTCCCATGATTCAGCTGTATCCTAATTGTACTTCAATGGAAATAATACTAAGACTCCTTGCTGATACACAACTGTATATTACGTACTCTGTTGCACAATTTGTTCTGACAGCTAAGAAGTCGAGGCTTCGATTTGTTAAGGTTCATAATGTCACATAAATGTTGAATAGAGTTGACTTTGATGATGCACTATGCCACCATTCCCAGAATGGATTTATTTACCTCTGAGGCATCCTTTTGTTTTAATCGCTTTTACGTAAGTCTGCCTTTTTAAAGGTCTATGGCCAGAAACAATAAATGTACAATATGTATACGTGTAAACAGGTGTGACAGTGAGAGAAAAGAAGAATTAGGCTCACAGGACACATTTCTTTCTAAGCCTAACGTCCAATGCTTTGTGGCTGAGAAATACAGAATGGAAGCCACTGCTGAGACAAACCTGCCCTTCCATTCATCATCATCATCATCATCATCATCATCATCATCATCATCATCATCATCATCATCATCATCATCATCATCATTATTATTATTATTACTACTACTACTACTACTACTACTACTACTACTACTACTACTCTTGTTCTTTTTCTTGTTGTTGTTAATTGCAAGAACCACAACACAGTTGACTCCTCCAACCCCTTCCATTCAGAAGAAGAAAGCAAGCCACTGACCTATAGCTGATACACTTCCGTTGCCTCGTTGACCTCCTTTCAAGCAGCTTTGCCTTGGATTTTTTGGAATCTTTCTTCTTTTCTTCTATGCCTTCGGGTATTTCAGGCTCCTGTTGAAAAGGCAGGCCAGCATTAAGAACGGCAACAGCGGTGGCCTTTGTAAAAGGGGGCTTCTACACTTTGGAGGCAGACATTCAGTTTCAGTCCTCCCACCATTAAGCCTGCTGCTCAGAGACCCGGCCCATTCTATGCGCACCAAACCAGGACTGCAGTATTTAGCTGTCACTGAACTAGGGATTCCACACAGGTCTTGCCAACAGCAGGTATAGCTGTCTCTAGTGTTCATATATGCTGAAGCTGTAGGTTGTAGGAGGTGAGGAGACACACAGCACAGATTGAACTTTTACTGCCCAGGTATCTATAACTCCACCTCGGTAGCAGAAGCAGAACTCCTCAGACAACATGAACAGACCCAGGCAAATGCACCTGACTCCTGCAGTATTTGCATAAGGCAAAATCTGCTTTTCTCAGGGCAAGCACCAAGTACACCCAAGCCCTGGGCTCTACAATGAAAAGCAAAAGGATGTCCATTTCACTTACTCGTGGAGGTATGATGTTCTCAATGCTGATGCCCACATAGACCAGGCGTTCCTTCCTTGGGGAAGAAAGAAAAACAAAATCAATAAAAGATGAAATTTCTTCCCAAGTTCTGCAGATTCTTTTGGCTGCCTCTTTTGCCTGTATCCCCAGCCCTTTAAATAGGATTCCGTGAGAGCTTTCAATAGCTGACCCCCACAGATGGCTCCAACACAAGAGGAAAAGGAAGAGGTGCATCTCAGGTCAACAAGGGGGACCCACAAGGGTACAGAGCATTCTCAGTCTCCTCTGCATTGTTATGCAATATATTAGTGTTTAATAGGTACCAGATCTAACAGACATCTTGTTGCGTTCTCTACTAGAGGTGGGCACGAACCAGTGGTTTGTGCTGGTCTGTTTATTGGCCAAAGAGGCATTTTGCCTTTCAAAGCTCCGCCTCCTGTAGTGGGCAGCCACTCACAGGCCGTGCCTGGAGGAGGCAGGGCAGAGAAGCCAGACCACTCACTGTCTTCAAGTGAGTGCCGAACGCCCGTTTGGCCGATGAACGAACCAGCAGTTTGTGCCCATCTCTATTGCCTATTACAGGATAGATGGCTAGTAATGTCTGTGGACTGACTGTATGGCTTAATTGATATTTTCTTCACCACAGGCTTCTTGAATTCACTTGTTAAAAACCTTTCTATCCGGGGTTTCCCACCAATTTAACAGAAGGCGTTGAGAGATGTATTACTATGTTTAAAATCATGTATTTTTAAGTGCATCAGCTGACACCTCTGTATCTGAGATACCCTTCCTTCTTTTGCAAGCAGTGAAAAAACAATCGAAAAATGAAACAAATATCCATTGTATTTGTCAATATTTAGTTTGCTTAGGTCAGCCTTCCCAAGTCTGGCACCTTCAAGATATGATGGATAAGAGCTCTTATCATTCCCACCCACTGTGGCTAATGGGCTTGGGATGGTGGCAGTTATACTGTGTTTCCCCGAAAATAAGAAAGGGCCATATTAATTTTTGCTCCAAAAAATGCATCAGGGCTTATTTTTAGGGGATGTTTTATTTTACAGTCATGTTATCTTCTGGTTGCTGCATAATGGTGGAGGGTGGGGATTCACTTAACTAGGGCTTATTTTGGGGGTAGGGCTTATATTACGAGCATCCTGAAAAATCATACTAGGGCTTATTTTCAGGTTAGGTCTTATTTTCAGGGAAACAGGGTGGTTCAACACATCTGCGGAGCACCAGGTTGGGGGAACATGATTTACTTATCCCCAAATAAAAGTCAGTAGGGCCCTTGAACTGAAAGCAATTAAAGACTGAAGGGGAACTCTTGAACACTTGAAGTTTAGAGGTAAAACATCTGGAGAAAAAAAAACTAAGACCACTTATACTAAGACACTTCATTACAGCCAAATGAAAAGAAGTAGTTTTAGAAGAAGTAACCGAGTTGGTCTGTGCTAGGACAGCAGGCAACACAGCAGACAAAAACAAAAATAAAGAAGACAAAAACGTTCTGGCACCTTAAAGACTAAATGCTATATTTCAATGTGACAACTCCACTTCCTCAGACATAAGAATGAGACTACACGGCAAATATTCAAACATTTAAATATTTATACACGTTCAATGAATAAATACTAGCCATGGAGTTCCACTCTTATGTATTTTGTCCAGGAAAGCTCACATTAAAATGTCCATTAAAAGCTCACATTCTGACCCAGTCCAATCCTGTAGAGATCTCCTTTGGCGTAACACTCGGCATGTTAGTGCTCTTCCTAGCTTCCACATTTTCACATTTTGCACAAAGCAAACTGGGGTATATGGTAGCAAATGCCAGGGCAACTTTCATCTCCATGTAGCAAAGACATTCCTGCCCTTTACAAAAACACCACTTTAAGAGATGCAGAGAACACATCATGGTCATTTAGTCCAGAAGATTGTGGGGTTGTGAAGCTTCAGATGAGAAATTATCTTTCAGTACCTCCGCTCTGCACGCTCTTTCTTTTTCAAGACAACGTCCAGGTCCTGCAACTGCTCTTCTAACTTCTCACAAAGTAACTTCTATAAGGATAAAGAAAAAAAACTGTATTAACATTAATGTGTTTTACAAAGACCTCTGTGTAGCCAATTTCTCAGTAAGTTACAGCCAAACATTGTTCTGTGAGATGACCCCTATGGCCAGAGAGGACCTGATAGTAGCTGAAGCACCGAGAAGCACAGGAAAGAAAGATTTCAAAGACAAAATAAGGAAGCGTGAGAATTCTGGAAACTCCGTAAGAAACATAGGATGACATTCATTGAGAAAAGCACCGCACAAATGAAAGATTCTGAAGAAAGGAATGGTTTTGTTAAGATGTGAAAAATGTTTTACGGGGAAGGCAAAGAAACTTTTTAGCCAATGGAACAGGCTCCCTAATTCTGAACCAAAATAGCATTAGAAAGGGTTTAAGTAATCTGAAAGGTTTAATTAACATTTATTTCTCTCCTCCACTTATGACATAACCAAAGTGTTAACTACAACTACAGCTAATCAAGTCTTAAAACCAGCTTGGGCCTCAGTTTGGCAGGAAACCAAGATGAAGTACATCCCTGACCTAAACTTTCATGATGAGAATGCCTTCCAAAACTGAGGGGCAACAGACACAGGATCCCAGGAGCTGCTTATGGCTTTTTTGAACCATGGATAAGCAAATTATATTGACACAAGAAGCTATGGAGTATAAAAGTAACTGGAATTTTTCACCTATACGGCAGACAGCCATATGTAGGAACGTAAGATCAAACATTCAATTCAAAATGCTTTTGAATTGTGATGTTGGAGGAGACTCTTGAGAGTCCCCTGGAATGCAAAGAGAACAAACCGATCCATTTTGAAGGAAATCAACCCTGAGTGCTCACTGGAAGGACAGATTCTGAAGCTGAAGCTCCAATACTTTGGCCATCTCATGAGAAGAGAAGACTCCCTGGAAAAGACCCTGATGTTAGGAAAGTGTGAAGACAGGAGGAGAAGGGGACGACAGAGGATGAGATGGCTGGACAGGGTCATCGAAGCGACCAACATGAATTTGACCCAACTCCGGGAGGCAGTGGAGGACAGGAGGGCCTGGCGTGCTCTGGTCCATGGGGTCACAAAGAGTCGGACACAACTTAACGACTAAACAACAAGATCTACACAAACAGCTTACAGCAACTTTAATACATTAGATGCAGAGAGATAATAAGACAGACAAATGATAAACATGTGGAAGGAGTTCTAAAGGGAAAATGTAGAAAAACTAAGCCATCCTGTATACACTTAACCATGACTAAACACAGCGGGATTTGCTTCATGTACACAAGGAATTGTTAGAATGGATTGACCAGTGACTTCCAGCTACAACAATGCACATGGGGGGGGGAAGGCAAAGCAGTCTTTGTTCCCTTTGAAAATATACACCTGGCCAAGACTATTTGTATCCACCTGAGTGCCAGGTAGAGGCTCTGCAAGATCACCAGCAGAGAAAGGTTTTTCTCATCAAGTGCTACCCAAACATTTTCCCACTGAGATGCTGGGGAATCAAAGTTAAAACCCAAGGCAAAGTCTGTGCCACTTCATTAGAGCTTCTCCTCTATTCAGACCTGCCTTTAAGCAGAGACAACAGATGAAGGTTTTGCACTGAATGAAGTCATTCAAGCTGACAGTTCCAGCAATTCAAATATGCCACAGCACTAAATAAGCCTCATCACTTCTGGACTAGAAGGGGGCCAGCCTGACTCCAGGTTTTAGAGAAGGATCCATAGAGCAATCTAGGAAAGTAAAGGCCTGTTAGTCTAAAGAACGCCTTGGCCTACTTGATGGAAAATGTCACAAGGAGAAGTGCCAAACGTACAGAAGAACAAGTCTTACAGAGGAAGACTCCGCATGGTTCCTGGCCTCACTAACCTTTTAAAACGTGTTCAGGTTGTCAAGAGAAACGCAGAAGGGGGTGATCCCTGTTTTCAAAAAGCTTTTGACAAAATCCCTCACCAAAGTCCCTTGTAAGGAAACCTAGCAGTCATGGGATTAAGAGGATATATATTCTTACAGAGCGATAACTGGCAAAAGAAAAGGAAACAGAAGGGAGGAGTAAGTGGTCAGTTTTTATAATTAAGGAACGTAAATTGCAAGGCTGTTTCGAGGACCAGTACTAAACTGTGACTAAATGAGGTATGTGAACAGGAATCTGAAAACATACTACTGCGAGTGTCACATTTCTGGCTTATTCATTTATTTTACACCCTGCATTTCCATCAACAAAACAAACAAATAAGAAGTGCTCAAAGCATGCAAAAAAATATATTTTGTTGTTGTTTTGACTTATATAGCACCGCATAGTGCTAAAAAGCACTCTTTGGGCGGTTTGCAGCGTAATTATGCAAACAACCACTTTGTCTCCCAGTAAAGATGGATACTCATTTTACGAACTTCTGAAGGATGACCCTATTTACATTCAATTCAGAATTACAAAATCACAAATACACTGTGAAAAAGAAAAAGAGCAGCTCTCTGACTAGATGCTATATGTGAAGCAACGTTCTTTAATATGTATAGCAAAACATTCATGAAATCATTAGCTTAGTGAGCCACAAGAATGAATAACAGCAAGTTCTGCGTTAAAAATGCTTATGGGATCCCTATCTATAGTATCTGTTAAATGAGCTACCTGGAAAGTCCCTTTTGAAGCTGAAGAAGGGAGAGAAAACGCCAAGGGGCGTTCATTCTAAAGGAAATGGAACATCTTGTGAAGAGGCTCGAGAAGGAGAACTAATTCTGGCAGCACAAGAGGTCTGCGGCAGAAACTCAGGAGGTGGTGGTTCCTCCTGGTTGGAAGTTTCTTAGCAAAAGACAGGTTGCCAACTCTACGATTCTAACAAGCAGCTGGGACTTTTTTGTTTTTTGATGAGTGAAGGTACATCTTAGATTTAAAATATGATGAAGAGAAGAAATAGGGAGAAACAGAAACAGCACAACTTTGAGTTGAACTCTGCCCAGTAATACGATGAGATTCTGATAAGTATTGAGCCTTTCCCAGAAAAAAATTGAGCTAGGAAGCTGTAATTGCCACACTATTCTACATATTCCCCCAGGAAGTCAATGCACTTGCAACATCTGTCCTGCAGCTTCTTAAGTCCCTGTGAATAAAATTCTTCCGACTGCTGGTGTAACCACTCATTTGCAACATTAGTTGCCTCCAAAGTGCTCCCAAATCGTTGTCACTTTAGGTGTTTTCTGAGTTTGGGGAACAGATAACAGCCAGAAGGAGCCAGGTCGGGAGAATAGGGTGGATGGGGCATCACTTGAAAGCCTAAGGACGTCAGTTTTGCCACTGTTTCACCTGCAGTGTGTGACGATGCGTTGTCATGCAACAGGATGACACCTTTGGAGAGCTTTCCTTGATGTTTTTCCTTGATGCTTGCCTCAACTTCATCAATAAAGCACAGTAATATTTTGCATTGATGGTTGAACCCTGTTGGAGGTAGTCCACCAGCAGAACTCCCTTCTTATCCCAAAAAACTGTTGCCATTTGCTTCTCCACCGACCTTTGCACTCGGAACTTCTCTGGCCTGGGGGAACCACTGTGCCTCCATTCCTTAGACTGTTTCCTTTGTCTCAGGATCATAACAGTAGATCCATGCCTCATCACCAGTTACCAGTTTGCCCAGGAAATCTGACTCATTTCTTGCAAAATGTTCCAAAACAGCCACCGATGACTCCACCCATTTCCTCTTTTGTTCGGTTGTCAAAGGTTTGGGGATCCACTTTGCTGCCAGCTTTCTCATTTCCAAGTCGTTGTGGATAATGGCACTAATTCTCTCATGTGATATTCTCAGATATATAGCAATACTTTTGGCTGATATTCGGCAGTCCTCCATGATCATGTCATGGATGGCTTTCACATTTGCAGGCTCAGAGACAGAAACAGGGCTTCCACTGGGTTTCTCACTTTCAACACCGAAATGGCCAGTTTTAAGATTGACAACCCAACATTTAACTGTTGCATATGAAGGGCTGCCAACACCCATAGTTTGTGACATTTCATCATGGATCTGCTTTGCACCTTTCCCTTGGAGAAACAGGAACTTGATTATGGTCCTATGGTCTTCCACACTGCACTTTTCTGGAGATGTTCACTTTGGACCTGAACATGAAAGATAAGTTAAAATCATAGGTAGTTGATTTTTTTCACCATTGAATACAGAAAAATTGGCCAATGCACCCTGCAATTCATAGCTTCCTAGCTCAATTTTTTCTGGGAAAGGCTCAATACTTGTCAGCACCCCCTCGTATCCATCAAGAACTCACTGAGGAGACTTTTTTGACAGCTGGGGGCGGGCAAGGCTTCATGTCCTTGCCCTTCCCTTTACTAACAAAACCAGAATGATACAGCATGGCAAAAATGAATGAACTCGATTATGCAAATTTGCTCAATTTACGTAATAGGACGCAGAAACGACACATTTTCTCTATGTAGAACCTGGATTTCTTGAAGGCCATTTTTAAACCGCATAACCAACACATATACCACAGATGACCAGATGCTGGGAACCAATAATGGATGGTTTGTTTCAAAAACTGCGAACCTTATTCTTAGATGCTATCTTATTGCTTGACAGTACGCGTTGTAGAAAATAAACTTATGTGTACCTGCAAGACGGGCATCTTTCTAGGATGCAATTTAGTTCTGGCAGCTTAAATGCTGTTCTCTTATGATTGCTCAGATCTATACAAACATTTATATAGTTTGAGATATTTAGACAGATTTGCTGCAGATACACCAAAGCCACTGCATTTTACAGTTCTGGCTGCTGACAGTGTTTAAAGCCCAAGTACAAGTCAACGACTATTTCCAAAAGGAACGCAGAAGAGGTCAAAGAAGGCATCCTGTTCCTAACCCCATCACCCTGCCAGGTTTCAATGGGGTTGGGGTGGAGATGGAAAATAACACAGGGACAGAAGGCAAGGCTTACGTGCTGGCAAGGTGGGCAAAACCATTCTCCATCAGGAATGATCATCAGAGGGGGCCGGAGACATGCTGTGTGGTATCCACTGTCACAGGAGTCACACAAGAGAATCTGTGGAAATGCATCAAGATGTCACCATGCCTCGTCAACACACTGACACACATCCTACTTTCACAGGCATTTTGGGTAGAAATCCAAAATTTACCATTCAGTCATTAAAAACTCTTTCAAGACCCACAGAGGGCGGGAGACAACTAAGCACATGCTTTACTCTTACATGGAAATCAACAAGGCTAGAACAAGAATCATGTGATCATGCCTCCCAACACTGAAATACTATGAGTACAGAGGAGGTCAAAACCTGTTCTAACTCCTCCAGCACAGCTAACTGTAGAATGAGGTTTCCTGTGGTGATTCTGGAATACCCTGTTCCTAAGGATGTTTGTTTAGCATTAACATCACCATCTTTTGCACACCAAGTCAAGAAACATTTATTAACCCAGGCATTCTAAATTGCTGTTACTGTATTGCTTTAACCGTGCTTGTATGGCTTTGCTGCTCTTTGTTTTATGTTTATCATTTTTATTACATTGTAGTTTGAGTACTATAAATCACCTGGGAATCTATAACAGCAAATGAATTTTAAAATATATATATATAATAAATGAATTCTAGCTTGAAGGAATTTGTTTTAGTCAAAAATACCGATCATTCATTCATTCATTCATTCATTCATTCATTCATTCATTCATTCATTCATTCATTCATTCATTCATGTTATTTACACCCCATCTTTCTCCATCAAAAGGTCCAGGGAGGCTTATAATTGACAATAACACCTATAAAATGAATTAAATTATTAAATACAGTCAAACCTCGACTTACAAACGTCCCTAGTTATGAACATTTTGAGTTACGAACAGCTCCGTCTGCAAAAATCTGGTTCTACTTGGGAACAAAAAAACGCAGGGAAAATGGGCAGGAAATTCAAACTGTTGGTGGCAAGGAGGCTGCTACTTTGTAGCTCTTTCACCCCAACGGTTAGAGCAGGGGGTCAGGGAACTTTTTTGCTTCTGCCGAGCAGGAGGAGGAAGCCAGTGCACTCCCTTCCCAGCCCTGGCGCGGGTCTACTCACGAGTAAGCGCCATGGAAAGAGAGTCTACTCATGAGTAACCACCGCAGAAAGCACAGGTCTACTTGTGAGTAAGCGCCGCCAAAGGCGCGGAAGTGGAGGTAAGGTTCTGCTTT